CTGAATCTTTAAATAGTGATCATCAAATTTTCTTACTCAGATACATTGCCACTACAATGTACTCTGTCAGACAAGAGTAATTTTGAAGCGTTTTTACGCTGAAACAAAGGTAAGAAAATTATTTTTTTTTTGGAATAATCGGTTTCTGCACTTCATTGACTTGAAACTTCTTATTTGGACTAAAAATAATTCATTTTTTTGGGGAAGTGTAAAAGACGCACTATTTAATGCCCCAAACCGCGTTTTTTTAATGACTCTAGTCTGACTGGATAAGAGGATTTATTGTAGTGGCAATGTATCTGAGTAAGAAAATTTGATGATCACTATTTAAAGATTCAGTAGTCTATGCTTTCATCGAAACAACTTATTAATAAACATATCAAGGTAGTTTATTCCACGCTGTTAATAAAAAAATTAAAGGGTATGATTATTTTATATTAGACCCGCTGGCTAACATGATTGTTCAACAATTTCACAAGAATTGCGCCATTATGAATAAACGTGAGAGTGACGATCGTAAAATATCCCGAATTAATATCTTGCAATCTATCACGATAGCCATCAAAGAAATGCGCAGTCATCAATGAACACAAAGTTTGATTGTTTTAGAATGATTCCTATGTCTAATATGATGCTCTTTGATAATGAACAGCAATAAATGTAAAACTAGCGTGAATCATTATTCTCGTCGATCGATTAATAATTATTTCAAAACATACTTCAATAAAGATTCAAAATTTGGAAAACAACAACTAAAATGTCTGAAAATTCATTTCACTTTTTCTTGGCCAAACTTCTGTTTTTTCTAATGAATGTTGCCATCGTGAAATAAACTTCGAAACAATATGATGAAATGAGGATTGTATTACGTATTGTTGAAATTGCTTCATTGAAACTTTATTTGAGATTTTTCCTGTGAGGAACCTCATTTTGTGATAAATGTTGCTTTTGAGAAAAAATCAAAAACTAAGTTGACAAGAAGCTTTGTCATAAATCATTCGTATTGTGCTTAGTAAAACCCAGCATTGGCCATCATTCAATTAAAATTTCATTATTAATCAAAATAGTTTCAACTTATACATTCATTACCAGCACTACCATTATCATCACTATATTATTTAAATATTACGTTCGAACAAGTGAAATATTTTCTCTAATCTAAAAGTGACGTAGAATTAAATACGAAACAACTCATCAGATTTTTTCGAATAATTTTTTTCTTTAAAATTAACCGAAAACATCAATTATTTTTTCCTTATTCTTGGTTAACATGTTTTGTTTTGAAGCTGCCAAGGCACCACTGGAAACGTAGATTCNGACAGAATAAGTTTTTATTAGAGAGAGAGCACAAGAAGAAGGAAATCTCTTTCTTTTTTTTTTTCAAAATGTACCCAGATTTGAATTTACGAATAATAGAAGTGCAGCTGTCGTCGAAGCGGTGTAGAAAAACGGATAATAGATTCGCTACATTGTTTTTTATATACTCGAAAAGGAAGAACAAATACGACGAATGTAACAGTGGTCGGAATAAATGAAATATAGAAGCCAATTAGAAATAGCAAAGGATCACGAGCTGATGTCATGCAGCTGGATGAAAATGCAATGACAGCACGAGAAAGAGCAAGAACAACCAAAATACAAGGCGAAATGAGCAGATGTTTATGTTCTTGTAATTGTTGATAAATATGTTGACCATACTTTTCATTTGTACTAAGAATGGCACGTTGTCGAGCAATAGTAAGAATAATGACAAGAACGAACATAATATTGATATAGAACGGAATGAAAAAATGAAGAAAATTAATTGTTGAATTGACGGTATCCACTCGAGTAGGGTACATAGCTACACACCAGATTCGATGTTCTTCTAGGCCATCAATAAGATGACGATGCATAGAAGCATGGACATAGCTCAAAATCATCAGAAGACTAACAAAAAGGATAATCCATTTGGCTGCTTGTTGACTTTTTTTCTTATTGAAATTAACGCCTTTCCAAACAGTTACAGCTCTTTCTACTGAAATGCATGCATTCAACCAATTGCTTATGGCGAGAAAAATGCTAAGCAAGAAGTCAAGCGTAACACATTGAACAAATAGAAAAGATCGATAAATTTCAAGTGACATTTGCGAAAAGACAAGAAGCCATAATTTGAGTGTAAAAAGAATTGTTGTCAGGAAAGAACTGATGGAAGATGCAAGAAGATAGATGCAACAACCTGTTTCTCTCAATTTTCGAGCTTGAAAAGTAATAAATGAGAGAAATGAACTGATTAAACCGAATACTAACATCAATGTAGTTATTATTATAATCGTTTTTATTGATATCGATTGTTGTAGAAGCGAAGTTTTAGGTTGAATTTTGTAGCCAAAAGTAGCATCCAATGACAGACCTAGCCCCTTCGTTGACAGTTGACATCGAGTTCCGAAATAACATTTATCACATAGACATATCAAAGTTGAAGGGCAATCGGGTCGATCATGAAAACATTGAGTACCATTTTCACAGTAATCTATATTTGTTCGACACTTTCGGATTAAATTCTGATTGAATTCAAAACAATTACTATATCGTTCCGGTGTACATAGACAGAGAAAAACATCATCATGAAAACATTTTGTCTGGTTATGTTCACGGCACAAAAGCGTGGTAAAATTTTACGCCTGTCAAAAAAGGCAATGAAGCTCTTTTAGGTATCAAAAGTTCATAAACAGATGGACAACGCTGATTGGTCGTGATCGATCTTGTCAAAGTTTAAGCAGGGGTATGCGTATGTTTTAAAATAGCCAAATAAAAAAAGGATGGAATTTCAATGAATAATAGATTAAATTTGACTGGTGCATAGAATTCAACGAATTTTTTATCTGCAGGGACATTTTTCACAACCTTCGTTTGTGTTGGTTCTGCAGCACTATGTACAGTAATGAAGTGAACAAGGCTCGCGGAAGAAATCGGAATGTCGTCGAAGTAAATATTTATCTTGATGTTCGCATCAGCGCAAGTATTACCTGAAAAACCTGATGAACAAAGACATGTAAATCCGTTTTGCGATACACGTTCATCGTCCGGAATACGTAATCCTCCATATTGACATACATTACTTTGACAAACACTCCTTGTTAACAGACATCGTGGTCCAAATGGACACACGCATATCGATCGATTATTATAGATACCATAAAAGATAGAATCGGATGAACATTGATTAACACTCATTTCTTGACAATATTGTCCATACCAACCTGCATCGCATCGACAAAAATGTTTGTCAATATTTTCGTATTTAAAACATCGTCCATGATTACACTTGATCAAACAACTTGGTGATGCGACGTTGCCTTTAACAGGAATTATAACGATTTTAGCTAAGAAATCATTCACATATGTTACGAGCTCGTCAAAACAAATGTGAGAAGGACGTAAGAATCTATAAAATTAGATCTGTTCTATGACAATTCATCTTGGAATAAACCGAAACTTGATTCATACACTCAAATAATAAATCTTTTCGTAATCAAGCTTTCCAGTAAAACTTTTCAAACCACGCGTACATTGTTTGCTCGTTCAATTTTTTGCTTTGGTAAATAACTATTGAAGTTACTCTAAATCTTTGATGTGAAATAGAGAATAAATGACAAAAATCTAGAACGTATTCAGAAACGGAAAAGAGCTTCAAAATGTAAGTCAAACGTCGCATCACTAAATACCTCTATGAAGCAATCGATCAGCTATTCGACCCAGATCATCCATTAACTGGCGCTCGAGTTTTTGTTTGTCTTATTGGTGTTAGCTTATTTTTTTAAACTGAACATTGCTTTTATTCTAAGCATTAAATTAATTGACAAATAAACCTGTTGTACATATTATATCTACAGCAGCAAGTCTCAATAAACTACTGTGTATCTTGATATGTTCACAAAAGACTGATATTGATTATTTTCCAAAATTATAACTTGATCAATTCACGCTTTTTATGTTGATCCTATGACGACTCTGGCAAAATCAATATGTCATTATCCATCATTTTTAACATTTTGAATATAAATTTTTTATTTGCACAGAAATTAATAACTGCACTATTTAAAATACACACAAATATATTGCAGTCTTTCGAATTTCTGTTGCTGCGGAAGTCTAGGAAAGGAGTGTAACGCTTGTTGTTCTCGATTACTATAGAGACATACTCAAAGACCATTAATTTTGGTTGTTATAGTTTGTAATTAGCGAGGAGGGCCATGCAAAACCTCGACTTGGAATTTACACTCACAATTTTCTTCAATAATATACTTAAGTTTCATAAAATGTTAATACTTTTTTGATATCAAAAGCTGAAGTGAACTGAGGTACCTACACCACATCGTGTAAACAATAGTTGTTAAGGGATTTGTTGTGCTCAAGAAGTTTCCTTGCCATTTTCATTCTTAACTTGAGTATATGTATTTCAATATTTACATTTGACAGAAATCCTGTCTAGGAGTCAGTGTGCTTGATTCAATGAAGTTTAAATTATTGATGAGTAGCAAAATGAAAATTACCATCGGACAGAAAATCAACTACTAATGGATGATGGCAACAATTGAAATGGAATGCTTAGGTATCAGCTAGTGTAGTATACTAATGGATCGATGGAAAATGCATCAATGTGAATGCTGTAGTTTTTCCTCTCTCGTCTTTTGGTCGTGCTTTGTACAACAGATTGAAATTGTACTTATTAACGCAATCACGCGTTGGTACATAAGTTATGTAATCGTACGAATGAACATGTTGTTCTTCATCTATTAACATGATAGAAAAGTAGAAAAGTGCATGCCAAAGGTGAGGAGCATTCTCTTTGTTGAATCGAATAGTAAGGCTTACGCGTTGATTTCGATACTGGCAATGATTGCCGTAATGACCAGGTGGACAAAGGCAGGCATCTTCATGCTGCCAATGGTTATAAATTGGAATACCCACGATTGCACAACCATGCTCGATGATAATACACATCATTTAGTCCACGAACTATTTGACTTTCGATTGATTCATCGTTCCATGTTTGAGATGGATTTGAAATAATTGAATGATGAGAGGTTGATGCCATATTTTCATCTGAAGCGTTGCTAGATGAAAGGGAGAAAAATATTTGCAATCGATTTTCATCGTGCAACTTTACGAGACTTTCTTCATCTGCAACGACTGTTCGACATATACCTTGTCTATCTTCATTCGGACAATACTCAAGAAATCGGCACACCAAACGAGCCCGTGTACACTCACGGTCATTCTGATATCTGTAACGTTCTTGCGGCATCATGGGCTGTCTTTCACGACAATATGATCTCTCGTCAAATGATCCTAAACAGTCAATCTGACCGTTTCCAGCTTGAGGCAAAGGTAAACAGATTGGTTTATATGTTCGAGATGATATGCAAGGATGTTCATTGGACGCACATCGGGATCTTTTGCATGCGATTTCATCGGCACCATTCGCACAATTCCAAACTCCATTGCAATGTGTATAGTGATTGTCACACTGCCAGTCTTCACAATTCGTCTCATTAGTTTCAACATGACCATTATCGGTTGTCATCACACTATCAATGAAGCCATCGCAAATATATGTAAAAGCCACTAAAACATGTCGTCCACGTCGGTTATATTCAAATTCATCTTCGCCATTGATGCAGTCTCTGATACCATTCAGCACGAGCCACGATTGAATACATTTATTTTGAGATGAGCATCGAAAACGATTCTTGTTTTGAAGATCACAGCTATTATCGACCATCTCATCGATATCTTCATAACAATCTTTGAAGCCATCGATTAGACGATGTTTAGAAATACACTTGGATGAGTTTGGACAATGGAATGCGTTTTCTCCTTGACAAAGTTGTCGATGATTGACCGAATATGTTGAGGAACAACTACGAAAAACGCCATGCATAGCCGTAAAAAGTGAATACCATTCTAGTACTATATCTTCATTGAAACCCAAGGTTTCGAATTGTAGACATGTCAAATTATTCAGAAATATTGTTAGCTTAAGAAAATCACATAATTCATAATTGTAGCATATATAATTAGATTATCTGCATTGAAACAAGAATACTGATATTTGATAAATATAAGAAACGAACGTGACCAAATATTTGGTAGTTAGGAAAGATGAATAATGGTGGACACTGGTCTCTAGTGATCTCGAGACATGTGTAAAAATCACAATAATCATCACAGTTTAAACCATCGATATAGTTCAGATTGTGCAAACAAATCATGGCAAGCCAACAATCTAGTGACAATGACGTATTGTAATTCTTATAGAACCATATAGTTTTTGAAAACACAAAGTCACGTCCATTCTTACATACTTCCAGGATAGATGGTGAAGCATAGTGTGATGTGCATGTATCATCGCCACAAGAAAACCCCAATCCATACGGAGGAGTTAGTTCTGAGCATCGAAATACTGGATCTTGGTAGCAATCTTTTAATTCCAACAATGTTTGATATTCATCTGTTCCATCGAGACAATCTGGATTGAGTTCATCATCATAAAAAAAAGTAGTTAGGAATACACATGCCATTTCGACACCGAAATTCGTCATCGACACATTCATTTAGCTCAAGCAAAAAAAACAATTTTCTTCGTCTTGACCACCATTCAAACAATCAATGTGATTATCACATATTTCTCGCCAATCCAGGCACATCGGTACAGGTCCACGATCACATTCAACGTGTGTATAACACGAATAACTTGTGTAATCGGCGGGCGCAGGTTCTGGATAATTTTTTAATAGAAATATATGATCAACAACATCACTAAATGATTTATTCGATGGATATAATGAATACTGACAGTTGTCTCCAAATACTGCCCAAGTACAATTGTAAAAAAACTCCCGAATCGAAGTCTTCAGGAGCTTGATGTTGTTCAGCAACGTCTATCGATGCAGACCATGTAATTAATTATTGGCTACTAATATTATTCGCATGTAACTCATCAAAAGTAATTGGTCTTCCTTCTACTGATGTATCATGTTTTACATGAAATAACTCCGGTTCCGACGGACGAATACAATATGAAATAATTTGGTAGGCATATCGAGATTGTGTTTTGTATTTCACAATATCATTCCGAACATGATAGTAAAGACAATCGTAGTGTAAATTGACGCCGCTCGTACTTATTTGATTCGAATAGTAAAGATTATATTGCGGAGTATTACTCACTATCCAGAGTATTGTGATGAGAATACTGATCGAGAACAACATTTGTTAGCTAGTGATTGTTAAACGCCCTGAAAAACGACGCTTTAATTTTATGAATCGATAATTATGCCAAGCAAGACGTTCCTTAACGACGTGCCATGAATATTTTCATGACACAGTAAGCAAAACTCGACAGTCTCTCGTTCTATTGAGAAACTATCACATAACAAATCTGACTATAGTGACGATGTGACTGATGCAGAAGCAAAATAATTAAATAGTTTGACTGTAGCTGATTTCCAAGTATTTAAATTTAGTTACATGTAGTCTAATCTGAGAAAAATTGAAGATAATTTTGACATGAATTTCCGCTAGCTACACTGAGAGTCAGTTAATATTATGTATTTACTAATAGCAACACAAAATTAGCTAACAAAGGACACGACTGAATATTTTTAACAACATGTTTTGCTTTTAGTCGTTTACGCATGTCGCAGCTAGGTAATCGAGTGCAACTGGATTCAACAGAGAAGATTATTGGCAACATTTTATTCAGCAAAGGAAGAAATATGATACGAAATAATTCCTAATCCAAATTTTTCAGTCAAAAATCATGAAATACAAAACAAAGACTTCCAAATCAGTCTGGTATTGGCAGACAATTCGTATTTTCTAGTTTTTTTTCTTTTGACCAATTCCAGCTAACACCAACTGATTTTCAGACTATTGTTTTGCATTAGAAAGAATCTATGAATAACTTCGAAAAGAGCATTCAAAATTAGTCATAACTGATATGAAGAACCACCTGGAGATTCCGATAATTCTTATTACTGAAAATATTCTTAACTCTGTTTGAAAAATTGCAGAAATTGTTTTTTCTCTGATTGCAAAAATACATCTCCAGCATTAAGAATTATCGAACTCCTACCGATTGTTCATACCAACTGTAATCAATTTTGTACACTTTTGCTGAAGCTATTCTTTGGTTTATTCTCATGCAAAAATTAAACCTCAAAACTAGTTGGAATTAGTTAGAATCGGTCAAAAATAAAAAAATAACTGATCATAATTGATACAAACATTTCACAAGAATTACATTCTTAATAAGAAACAAAATTTCATATTTGACATCATTTTCTAGAAATTGATGCATCCCTAAACACATCCACATCCATCTTTTTTTAACTTCAGTAGAAAGAGTTCGAATTTGACGTTCATTCATTGGCTTCGAAAACTTGAGGGAGAAATTGTTTTAAAATATCTTTTGAACTGATAGTGCTGTGGTGATTTTAGGAAAAATCTCTTTTTTTCCGATTACATTTACTTCAGGTACGATTCTTGTCTTGACTTGATTCATTCTATACCTTCACTGCACGTGATGCCATAGAGTTTGCTATTATATGTTGTGCATAAACACTTTAGATTACATGCCCAACATAGTACGATCGGATTTTAAATCTTAACAATCAAAGATTCAATATTGTCCATATAGTTGAATACTTTGCCGATGACCAAGATATCTTTATAAACACGCTTGTCCTTTTCCAAACTTTGAATAGTCAATATAGGAGGAAGTCAGACAATGGATCCGTCGTGCAAATTATGATCATACACGAATCCACAGGATTCTCCAAAAGACAGATATTATGGTATATATTTTATCTTTCACAGATATGTATATTAAAATGAGAAAATGGTCAATCTTATGGTGTGAAGAAAAGAAAATCGTTTGACTCGAATTTACAACTCAAAACAATAATCAAAGCTAAAATAAATGTATCTGACTCTTTTTCATTTTCTCTCATACTAACAAACATTTCCACCACATACGTATCCGTTTTTTATGAGAAATTTTTATTCACTGTAACCAATACGATTCCATTGCGCATCTCATTGCTCCATTTAAAGTACCCCAAAACTCGAATCAATCTTAAGAGTGACTTTCTCACGAGATTTCAAGTTGTTCCCCACGAATTTCGATGAGAGAACTATCAAAGAAAAAGAGAGTAAATTCTCAAGATTGTCCAAAACTTGACTATGCGATCCTTGCAAATCGGGATCAATTTACTTTCTTGCCATGTCGATAAGAATACTGTTTGAGTCTGTATCCATAACACTAATAATTTTGAAATTACCACCCAATGAAAATGCTTTTTTATGGATTCGGTAGTATCGGACAGATATCGACTGTTTACTCGAAGCGCTTAGAGAATATGCATGAGTCATTATGAAAGATATTTGATAACGAGAAATCAAACAATTTTCGCACGAATATTTGAAAATGATGACTCAGTATTTCAAGAACAGCGTGTATAAATGAGTTATTCGTTTCTGAACTTGTAATCCTATGTTTCTTTTCAAGTTTGTTTTATCGGCGGCAATAACAAAGATGCAAACAACTCAGATATGATACGATGAGAATTGCAACAAAAAAAAAAAGAAATCACTCAGTTCTTCCATCACATTCATTTAAAAAATCAAGTTTTACATTTATCAACACACTCTTATAATATTGTTATGAACTGAACTGAGAGAGAAGAGAATATCTACAGACATACTTACACCCTTGACAAATAAGTTATAAAGAGAACTTGACAAAATTAGACATATCAATAAACGTATCCCAGCAGAGTTCTAGACCTATACGAGTTTAGTTAGAGTGTACCAGAAAAGATAAAGAAGTTCTTATTACCTTCATTAATAAATTATTAACATGTTGATCCTACAAAAGCGATGCTGCATTTATTTCCAAGAGTAAAATTAAGCGAACATTATTGATATGATTTCATATCATAGTTTAATTTTGCGTGGAAAACAAATTGAAGAATTAGTAAGAAGTTTTAGCTTTATGTATTCTTGTTTGTCAAGTGATGATTCAATTAAATGAAATGTTTTCTAATGAGAAAAAAATTCTAAAACGATATCTTATTCTTCATAATAAACATACGAACTTTTCAATTATTTCATCATGTTCTGGAAAATCTCTTTTTTTAATCGAACGACTTTTCGACTTAACGCTTCAATTTATTTTTTTCTTTTTGAATCAGAGAACGCAAGATCAGCAGGACATCTAAGTTCTTCTATTGATAGCGACTAGTACTTCGATGGAAAGATTATTTAGCTTAGCTAGGTTAATATTTATTCGTTCATACGAATAATTCAAGAAAAATGAATAAAAAGATAACTTATCCTTTCTTGCTGTTCATATTTGACATCGTACCTCATATACAGATAAGTTCTTATCCTCGTCAAAAAATGTGATGAAAAAATCGTCCTATAACGTTTTCTATTGTTAAATTAAATCCATTAACTGGTAAAGCATTTATCGATGTTAAGGGTGCCCCCCCCCCCCTCTTTTTTGATCAAAAACTCGATTTTGAGTTGGGCATAAGGTATGATAGCCTCAAGTGTTATGTGNGAGATAAGTCCAAAGTATCGCAGGAATCTTGAAATGGTAAGGGCGTGTATGAGCTGCCATAACTGGTTTCGACTTAGCTCACAACTAATTCTGTTCATTATAGTGTTGTTTTTTGAAGAAGAAATTTTTTTTGCACGGGGTTGGTAATGTCATAC